CACGACTTCTGCCAGCGGACTGTGGCCCGCAGACTGATATACTTAAGATTGCAACATATAAATAAACAAAACACTTACCTGTTCCCGTCTCCTTCCACCCCGTAGCACATTCCGGGACGTTAGGGTGAGCCCGCTCACACCAGCAACCCGGAGTGTCCGCCCCATGAACCAAAACGGAGAATAGCGCTTATCACTGGGGAACCGGAGCGCTTCAAAGTTGGCGTCGTCACGTTAAGTGAAACCCACTTCTCCAACTGAAGGAAGTGCATGCTGGCCGCAGCCTCCTCTGGAGCGGCCACCCGCAAGCAGACCGGCGCGGGGTCGGCGTCGCCTTTGCCTTCCAGACTGAAATTGTGAGATGTCTGCCGTGTCTACCGCAGGGTAACAAAGCTCATTTGATGAGCCTCCGCCTGCCTCTTCGGGCTGACAAATTTGTCAACGTTGTCAACGCCTGCGCCGCCCCCCGGATGACCAACTCCGACGAGACAAAGAACAAGTTCTACGAGGACCTGCATGCTCTGCCGGCGTCTGCGCCGAAGGCGGATAAGTTGACTACCCTTGGTGAATTTGTGGCGGACAGTCAACATTGATGTCCGGCTCCCTCGTTTAATGTCCATTGCCTCAACATCTTGCAATTTCACAAGCAGTTGATTCCGACTCGTTGACCTACAGATCCTTGACTGACTTCCACTCACACGTCCACGCGCCAGTAGCCACTGTTGCCTGAGACACCAACTCGGGGTTCTGTGCACAATATATCCCTCATTCTGATGCCTTTTCTCTTTTACTTACAGCCTGGGATTTGGCCTGATGAGTGTAGTGCCCTGAGCACATCCACTACTTCGACGCTACAACTTCAACTTCGACGGGACTACCCTAGTGATTGAGAAGACGCAAATTCTGAAGCGTTGAACCGAGGATTTTCAAAGTCTCCTCAACCACCCATCCCCCATCTCCGATGCCGCCATTGGCTGACTGCCCCAGGTGAAGAAAAACGGTCACCTCGATATACCACTCATTCATTACAAAACCGTCAGGGCCATGCAACGAGACTCCAATGGGAAAGTGCCAGGATCAGACGCGATCCTTGCTGAGATTTACGAATACGACAACCACCAGCTTATGAAAAACCTAATAATATTCTTCCGGGAGATGTGGCACCAAGAATAACCCTCACAGGATTTCAAGGACGTCACAATCGCCTAAAGGTACAGAAGCAGAAGATGCGATCTTTAGAACATGAAGGTTATGTGCTCGACGTTTCGGATCCTTGCTTGAACATATCACCAGATGCAACCTCCGATAACAGTGATAAGGGCAAGGTTACGCAGTGTTTATAGCCCGTAGCGACTACAAGACCACATGCGTACTAAAATTAGTAGCTGTCGCGATAATCGCTTGGGGTCATGATAGATGGTATGACAGTCCACGTCCGAGTCATGAATTACCGCGATTTCCTCACCCGTGTTGGATGTTAGCATGATAATTACGCTACAGTTAGGCTCGCTGTCATGAAACTTATTGATGGATCGTGACTCATTCCCCTGTTCAAGTAAAGTCGCAGTGCGGAATATGGGAAAGGAAGGTTATTGCATTTAGGGCTGGACTGCGGGTATGAGAACCCTAACTAGAGCATCTCGCAGCCTGTATTCTCCCAAGCAGTTTTAACAGCCACTTGGAACCACGACTGGTATCGAAAAGCTAGTGTGGTTTTTGTCGTCCTTGCGGCACTACCGATATGATCTTTGCTACACACCAGCTGCAGGAGAAGTGCTAGGAGATGTGA